GTGTCAGGCTGAAGTTTCTGCTCTGAGCCAAGGAGTGTGGTTTGGTAATGTTACTCCTTTCAATTATCACAGATTCAGTGTCATTGATTGCTGCAGTGTAGATCTCAGGAGAGGTCAGAGGGTTGCCTTGTTCGATCAAGACACTACAGCCATGGCAACGGCTGGTCCTAGACACTAGTGCTCCTATGAGCTATGTGTTAATGCAAACATACTACCATGCTCACAGCCGAAATGCTAACATGATTTTTAAGAGGTCTAATATTTACCTTGTTCCTTAATGTGGACTTTGCATGTTCTCCCTGTGCCTGTGTGGGTTCTCTCTAGGTCCTCCAGCTTCCTCCAGTCAAAAAGACATTCAGCTTAGGTTAACTGGTGACTCTAAATGGCCACTAGGAGTGAGTGTGGTTGTTTGTCTACATGTCAGCCCTGTAATAGACGGGTGACCTGTCCAGGGTGGACCCTGCCTCTTGCCCAGTGTCATCTGGGATTGGCTCCAGCCAATCACTGTTCAGACATGAGTGAAATAAACTACTGAAGAATTTCCACAAATAAGACCTCAGTGACACTTGTGATTGCACCTACCATGTAACAGTGGCTTACAGAGATTTGTAGTGTTTAATGTAATCAACATCTTAGCATGCTCTGCCACCCAGTCTCTCTGGATGGTGCTATTAGGAGACTGACATTGAATCTGGGTGTTGGTGATGGTGGCTGCCTGTCACAGCACACTTTAAACAAGTTGTAAGAAGGAGATTTACAATTGCAATTTAGCCATATGTGTCTTTTTAGGGGAAAAAAAACTATAGTTGTGTCACCTCCATATTTTTGATGATGTTTTGTTCATTTATTGGAAGTAAAAGAGAGAACGGTAGGTTGGCAGATCACACACACATACACACATTGAGACAGTGTCCATTGTACCTGTGTGTGAACATGTGCACACACACACTACGGGAGGTGACATGTTGCTATCTCCCACGTCTTCATATAGCTCACAGTAAGAGCTCCTTTGTCATTCCCACATTACTACCATCACTTCCACTGTTACACCCAGCATTAACAAGACCCACATGCAGCCAGTCTTCCTCTTCTACACACACTCCCTCTCTCTCTCTGCATGGTGGTGACATATTGGATCTCACTATGCTGATGTGCTTGGCCGATCGCTATCTCATGCTGGTAGCTATTAAAGTTTCTATCACACATACTGAGACTCGGAGCTTTGATGGCAACACTTGCAGCAGTTAGATGTAGGGACACGAATGTGCAGCTCTGAAGCTGATACTTATGAAGCAGTGGCTTCATATAGCCGTGTGCATAGTGATCATGCTTGTCATAAAGTGCCCATCGCAGAGTTCATTTTGAGTCGCAATTGCTATTAAAATGATACTTTTCATAAATTAAACCAACCCCCAAAGTGTAGGACTCAGACAATTCAAAAGTATATTTAAAGTAAGGGGGATGGGGAGTTTAGGCTTGAGTTCAGTCACTGCAGTGGTTTCGGCAAAAAAGGTGGCAAAACATGTGAAACTCAATTTCAGGCTGCAGCAATGACAGCAAGAAAGTCACTTTTGGCTTTTCCCGTTTAGGGGTCACCACAGCGAATCGTCACACTGACGGACTCATATGTTGACATTTGGCACGTGTTTTACACCGGATGCCCTTCTTGACACAACCTTCATATAAATGTATGTTCAGTCTATCAACTAAGCATCTCAACTGTCTTTAGATATGATTCATTTGGTTTTTACAGCCGGTGTGTGCAGTTGTATTTGTCATCACTGCCTTCACTGTGTGTATGATTCTATCACACTGGGGTGACTCCTCATGTCTATAGAATTTGGCTATTTTGCATCTTCATTTAGACACAAGGGGCTGAGCAGAGCATCCCAGGCCATGTGTACACTATATTCTCCTGAACTAGGTCTACAAGTTAAATGCTTTAAGGTGCATATACATGGATGAACTTGCAATATTTTCTTGCTTTATGGTTACTTGAGGGCAACAGGGCAAGATGTAAACAACTTTCAGCATATGATCACATTTAAATTGATGTGGTGAACATGTTAGCAAATAGCTGCCACTTTACTCATCCAGCAGTCACAGAGTTGTGTTTCTGTCCACCTGATCTGATTTGGCGTCCACCTATTCTTCCGGGAAATATCTTGCTCTTTAGTTGCTACAGTAAATTCTTCACTACATTCACTAGCTAGGCACTAGCTTTGTGTCTGCTGCTTGGTGCTAGGCAGGTAGCGTAAAATGTGTTTTTAAAGTTGCTGGAAATGGAGGTTTAATGAGAGCAGGGAGACTGAACAAAACAGTAAAGTTGCAGGCTGTAAAACCAAAACGAGCTGAAAGATGCTCCGAGCTGAGGGGAACTGCAGAGTCAGGCAATAATTCTGTGTGGATTTGTCGCTTCCAGCAGCCGTGCTGATTCTACACGTAGTCATTTGATGACTTGTTAATATAAAAATATTGAGTAGTGCAGCTTTAAATTTAGGGTAAGGCCATTAAATATATGATTCAATATAAATTGCTAAGACATTTTCTTTCACCAGAAGAATATCAAATTTTAGGAGAGTACCGAGATGACAAATGCACTGGTATGCAATAAATAAGTTATTCTACACAAATTCACAAATGGCAACTTGACTTAGAAGAAAGTTGGGGGGGTCTGAGTCTAACTGGGTTCATCACAGTTTGACAAGAAAAGAAGGGAAGTCAAAGAGTGGAAGAGAGCTTCGACTCCTCTCTGGTGACATCTGTAAGTGTGGCTGCAGGTGACTTTTGTCAGACAGGGTGTGAGAATCCCACAGTGATACTTGTTACTGATTGAGGTGTGTTCACACTCTTTGCAGTAGCTTGCTGTGCACGTGTACACACACCTGAATCCATATGAGAATGTGTTTGTCTGTTGCCGTTTTTACATGGTGTGGATGCATATGCATCTTTTTGTGTCTATTGCATGAAGCTTCTCTCTCTCTCTTTCTGTTTGTGTGTGTGTGTGTGTGTGTGCTTGTGCGTGTCTTGCCTGCAGGTGCTCGTACAAGTGAAAAAGCCTATTATGAACCTTGATAGAAAAGCAGCGAGAAATTAGAAACTCTGTTGCTTTAAATTCACAACTTGAGTCAGTGTGTTCTGTTTGTCTTGATCATAAATGTTCCCCCAGAAATCTTAATGCATTTTGCTTTACTTAAAGGATATGTCTAGAGAGATTCTATATTTTGATTCTGTAAAAAACAACAACAAAAAAAACAAACACAAGACAAAAAATCTATTATGTGTTAGTCTGTTTCTAAATCTATCTGTTGCATTCAACTCCAACCCCGTTCTTTCCTAGTAAAGATGAAAAACTTTTTAAAAACAACTGGACACAGTTTTTATGAGATGTAACTCAGACAGGAGAAAACTATGCATTTGTTGAGGTCTTCCAATCAGTTGTTCCTGGATGTACCTACTGTAAGTCCAGACTGAAACACTGGGGAGCTCCTATACTGTGGACTGATCTGCCACAGGATATTAGCCTGACAGCTTTTAGATCACTCCTTAAAACTAACTTGTATTCACAGGCCTTTAATAACATCTCTGATTGATGCATTTGTTTTGATTGCACAGTTTTGCCGTTATTATTTTATTGTGTAGGTGTGATTTATCTGGGTTTATCGATTTATTTTTTCTGTTTTACCGTAAAGCACCTTGTAACCTAGGTTTAGAAAGGTGCTATATAAATACATTTTGCTTGCTTGCTTACTATTTTAGAAGTGGATAATACACACATTTGGTGCTCTAGTGAGTATTTATGGCAGCAGGATGGTGGGTATGGGATTGACTCCAAAGCTACACTGTAGCCTTTATACATTGTACATGTAACTCAGTGCAACATCGTGCCTCTCTGATGTTCCAGCAGTGGGGCATAGAGGAATAAAATATACCAGGCTTTGTCTACACTGTACTAATACTTGTTAGTAGGGTCAGTTTAGTGTTGGTTTTCAACTTGTCGTGGTATATGTTAAATTTAAGAAGAAAAAATAATCATAAGATTTATCCTTTAAACTTGTCCTCAGTTAGATTTTATACTCTAATTGATTTGATGGGGTCACATTTTAACTGTTTGACCAATTCTTTCTAGGCTGGTGTCAGTTACACACACATTTAAGATCTACAACATCAAAACTGTATTAATCATCAACCACTTCTGCAGAGTTCACAGCAGGTGTTTATGGAGGATAGATTGTTACACATTGACTGGTCTCACATTTTCCAAAACAGACTTTAGAGTGGCCTTTTGGTGTTTGTCTGACCCTCAAACCATGACTGCTCATTTTTACAGGACTCAAAAATAAGTTTTGAGTCTTCAGTTTTGTTTTGAGAACTAACAAGTGAAAAGCACATTGGTCAATGTTCCCAGGGGTAATAGTGCTTGAGTTCTGTTCAGAAAGCCATCTAAAACTGAGCTGAGCGTTTGCTTTATAGAAAGACAGTCAAAAAAAAAAAGATAACTTAAACTTATACTTATACTCACATCCTCCTTTGATTGTTCAGACTTCATGGCTCCTGTTTGTTTGCTTAACCACCAGCATTTAAATGGACAAAAGGAACAAACAAAAGAATTTTTACACATGTGGCTAAAAATAGGTTGAGTTACTCTTTATACGGGCAGGCAGAGGAG